ATGGGAGAGGAGAGGTTGCCGAGAATTGTATGGGAGGCGAAGTGGGCAAACAAGAAGAGGGGTGGAGAACCCACGGAATAGGTCAAGGTTGTAGAGGACGTATGGAAGGGGCTCGACATCGACGAAGATGAAACGCTGGAAACGGAGGGTCTACAGGGGTTCAAGGAGAAGATATATGTTGCTTGTGCCGAGGGACGAGAACAGAATCTAAGGAAAGAATCCAAGGATAAGGAGGGTCTAGAAGTGTACGGAATGTTGAAGGAAGGAATAGGGTTCAAGGATTACCTACATGGACCAATGGATGCAGGAACAAAGCTTAAGGTCAAATTCAGGACCGGGGACATAGGCCTTCGAGAACGTCGACGAAGACATAGGACGGTAGACGAGGAAGACGACGAGTTCAAATGTGATTGCGGCTTCGAATGCGAAGACCGTGTTCATGTAGTCGCGGAATGTCCGTTGTACAAGAAGGAGAGGGAAGTGTACGTGACTGAGCTGGGAAAAATAGATGGAACGTACAGGGAGATGTTTGAGGCATGGAATAGAGAGGAAAGGACGGTAGCTGTACTGGGGCATAGGAGGTGGGTTGAAAAGGCGGGAAGGGATATCGTCAGGATAGACAGACTAGGGAAGACACTTTTGAGCCACCTTTGGCAAAGTAGAAAGGAACGATTGGCCAGCGGTGATCGGTCCTGTGGGAACAATGCTCCGTCCTCTCGAGGACGCGTGGTCAATGGTCTAACCGTTAAGACATGCAAAACATAAGAGTACGCCCCGCCCCCCCACCAACAAATCGCACGTGCGGGGTTTCTTATGGGGCGCTAGGTTCTGCACAACTTGCTTTGCGAGACACAACCAAGGGATCAAATCGACGATGCTTCGAAGAAGATAACCACCCTTGGGTGCGCGCCGTATACTTCAGTGTGTGTACGCATGGCACACAGCAGTAAAACGTGGTCGAGAGGTTGACAATAGGTTGGTGTGAGAAGAGGTTTAGGTGGCGTGCAGAAACCAAAACCATCTCCGCCGTCAGCGGATGGTGTGGCATACACGTACACATCTGGAGATGGCAGGCCCTCAAGAACGGGAGATGGTGTGTTCACGGCACCCCGGCCACCGACATGGATCACCGCGTACAGCGGAAACAATGCGGACGGAGAAGGGAGCAACACCGTCCAGGCCCGACCCAATCGTTTACCGTTGGCCGTGTGTCCCGCAAATCGCGTTGGATGGGTACCCCACACACGGCACAGGCAGCGGTACGCCATCGTCATCACCTTCCTGACGATAACGCTGGCTTCGCTCTCGCTAAGAGTTCCCTTCTCCACCACGTAGTCGAAGAGCTCGCCGCCCTGCATGATCTCCATCACCATGTGGATGTTAACGTCCGACTCGAACACGTCTTCCATGTGGATGATGTTCGGGTGCCTCAGCTGTTGCAAGACCTACGGTAGATGTTGCAGTGGTGCGGTTCGCGGGCGAAGGCGAGTCGTCAGTTCGGAAAAGGCGGAAACAAGCAAGGTGGTTATACATGGCAATTGAGGAAAGTCACGGTGCCCCCGGCCGATCTCTTCAGGAGGGCACGTGGATTGCAATCCCCCGCACCTATGCCACACACCCCCCCCCCCCCCCCCCCCCCCCCC